TAAGTGCTGTAGCTCCATCCTATGGAATCCTGGGATTTGTAGTTTTACTAAGTCTTTAACTGTCTCTGCCAAGGCATTCTGGTGCCTCACAAAATGCCAATCCCAGGATACTATAGGATGGAGCCACGGCAGTTAAGGACATGTCAAACTGCATTCCCCCCCCCCCAGTTTAGATGTACACATAAGGATGCACACACATCCTCCCTTGGAAACAGGGTATTTTACCTCCTCCCTAGTTGTGTGACTGATGCAGATTAATGTTTATACATATAATTCAGCAAGCTGTTCCACTGGGATGACAAGCTCATGTCATTGCCACACTGCTATGGATCGTGCCTGCAGAAGTGACCTGAGGGCCAAAGTATAAAACTGATGGAGAGCTGATGAATCTTTCCTTGCTTCATGAAACAACCACATTTCCTTGTGCCCACCCGTACTGTCGATCATACTGCCTTGGATAGGGCAAGCTGGGGCTGACATAAACCAAGATGTCAAGGCAGAACTCAGACAAACATTAGCATCTCGTATTTTTTAGTATAGAATAGCCTGAAAAAGAAACAGAGGATGAGTCTTCCTAAGCCAGGAAGACTTCAACCAAACCAGAGTGAAAGGAGAAGTATGACAATTATGTTGAGAGAGAGGAGGGAAATGACGGCTTCAGCCTCACCATTCCCAGTGGAAAATCAAGGATTTTGCTTCAGGATAAAAAAAAAAGTATTAGGTTTGTACATAATGGAGTGAATTGCTTGGCTCAGGCCTTGTAGAGCACAAAGTAATAACAGATTCTCTGAAGTACCCTGAGACCCAAGGTTTGGCATGTAAAAATTGGAATGCAGTGGACACTATCCAGTTTGTGAACCATGAATGTTTTAAAACAAGCAGCAACACTTTACACAGGTGCATAAGCAAAAATAAGACTTGCCTAGCAGTGTGAGATGAAATGTTATGCTTATACAAGGGACTTTGCTGTTGAGCAAGAAGGCTGCTTAAGGTGCATAGGATTCCCTTTTGATTTCAGCTCTTTCTAAATCACTTTTCAAGTTTACGTTTTCCAGGGGAAAATAGTTCTTTCCAGGGCTGATCAAGATTTTTACAGATGGTATACTGGTGCCTTTGCTACTTTTCCATTTTGACCATTGGATCTGTCAGGACAGGACTTTGGGGTATCAGCTCCATGTGGTAAAATGAGCAGGAGGGTCACCAATGCAACAGGGCTGTCTTACTGCATTCTGAAGTAAGTGACATTATATGCATCATCTAGATCAGTGGCTCCCAAACGTTGGTCCTCCATTGTTTTGGACTTCAGCTCCCAGAAGCCTCAGTCAACCTAGCCAACAGGAATTATGCGAGCTGAAGTCCAAATCATCGAGAGGACCAAATGTTGGGAACCACTGATCTAGAGACAGAAGCCCCATAACATTCTTAAGTCCAGTATCTAGAACTTATTTAGGGTCCTTTCACATTGTACAGTTACAACACTATGATTCCACTTTAACTGTCATGGCAACATCCTATGGCATCCTGGAATTTTCATTTTAGGGAGAGTACTTGAAATTCTCAACCAGAGTGCCTCTGATCAGGGATGGTTTGATTGTGATTTCCTGCATGGCAGGGGGTTGGACTGGGTGGCCCTTGTGGTCTCTTTCAACTCTATAATTCTATGATTCTATGACTGGGCTGTCAATCCTAGGATTAAATAGGATGCAGCCATGGCAGCTAAAGTGGAATCATAGTTCTATAATTGTATAATGCGAAAGGGCCCTTAATCACACTACTGATTCTGACATTGCTGTTGTTTTTGTCTACCTTCAAGTCATTTCAGACTTATGGTGACCCTAAGGTGAACCTATCATTTTGACTTAACTCCTCTAATTTTCTGCCACTTATGCTCTTCCCCAGCTGTCCTCTGCTTCATCCTACCCAAAATCCTCAGTGCTGTTGTCTGCTTTAATAGTCCTTGCTTTTCCTTGTAACCAAATAGGAGTTCTGATTATGTTATATCTAAGTGTTCTCTTTCTGCTGAGCTCATTTGGTTCTGTCTTTTGCCAGCAGTGCACAAAAGAAAGTGGAACATGACAAGGGATGCCCTCTCTTGAACTGCCCTGAAGCAAACATGCCATTCTCCATCCAGAATTCAGCTATTGTTCTAAGATTCTGGGATTTCTTGGTAAAATTTACTAGGCTATATTCCACCCCCCTCAACAAAAGAAAGAGTTTTCTACTCCCATTTCTCCCAAATGAGAAACAATCCAAACAATCGCATCCTTTTTAGGGAGACCTCTACTTAATCTGATGGTTTGTGGCATACAGCTGAGATCAGACAGCTTTTCACCCTGAGCATGTTCTCTGCCAGTGTAAACATGTGTATTTACAAAGTAGTTTTGCCCTTGACAATACATGTATAAAAACCGAGAAGCCTTCCCAGGTGGAGGTTCCCTAGGTGGAAATATGAAACAGGATCTATTCCATTCAGAAACAGGAAAGTCCAGTGTTTAAGGTAATATGGCATTGTTGAGATATTGGGTGTATTAGGATATCACAGTAAACCAGAATACCAGATTGGTGTGGGCAGTGCGTTGGATTGGTACACCCTGTACCACAAAACTCCCATCAATGTTTATGACATATAAGCCTGGAAATCTGATTTGTTTCTCTCTTGCTGGACAAATCTGAGAAATGAATCAAGAGCAAAATATGGGTTATTCATCTGACTAGTCAGTGGAGAAACAAGCCAGATTTCTGGCTTGGGATATCACAGTTAACAGTCCATGGTTTGCTTCTAGTGGGAGTAGTGATCAAGAAACCAGGATTCTCAAGATTTCATAGAAAGCCAGGATTCTCAAGAATTCTTACTACTGTGAGCCCAGCCATTGCACTTACTACAAGGGAGACAGATTAAAAAGTGGTCTGCTACAGTCCAATTCTGTAAATTGGGCATGTCCATGAGGAATTTTCTGTGGTCTTTAGGCTGTACAGCTGCCCCTTCATTTTCGTGGGGCATCCATTCCAGACACCACCACCCCATGTGAAAATGGAATAATGCCAATATTCAAGCCCCCTTGAATGATGGTGCGCACCCCATTTTAATCTCCTCCATTTGCCACTCACAAGTCCGCAAAAACAGAGGGGCAACTGTAGTTCTAAAAATCCTGACTTTCGTTTTAAACCTACTTAAATTTCTGGGCCTCATAGTCAAAGACATCCATGTAAAGAAATATGAATGCAGAACAAATTCTAAGTGAAAGAAACATAGCAGGATGTAGTAATAGCAAGGTCTTCATTTCCCTTTTGCTCCCAATTCTCATCTTTTCTAAGTCATTATGTTCTAAGAATGGTTAAGAAATGAACCAATTTTTTTCCACATCAGAATATTGTACACTAAATGGAACATAGCACTTTGGCATATGCTCTGTTCATCCAAATGTTATGCTAATTCTGACTAATTACATGCCAGGAAAGATGTAAATTAGCAGCAGCCTTAATACTCATTACATATTTGCATACTTTAATTTATTTAAATGTATACACATTTGAAAAGTTGAGTAAAGTTTAAAACAGACACACAGAACAAGGATGGTTTGTACCAGGCACACATTACACAGTTGATGAAAACAAAAATCCATCAGTGATACCTTTATTGGCCAACAAAAATGCACAATATATTTGTTGCAAGCTTTTGAAGCTCCATGGGCTTCTTCGTCAGGCAAGATGTTACAAACCAAACAGGAGAAAAACAATTGGAGATGTCAGTCAGATGCCTACATGTTGCTTCAGTCTTTAGTTAAGATGATATATGGTGGGGAGGATATCTTTTGCAGGCAGGTTCCTCCTCTTTCTGGCCATGTGGCTATAGGGTGATTTTCCAAGTCCAGGAAATTTAAAATTCACTTGCATATCATCAGGGAATCTGGTTTGGTTTGGTTTGGTTGGTTTGCAATATCTTGCCTGATGAAGAAGCCCATGGAGCTTTGAAAGTTTGCAACAAATATATTGTGCATTTTAGTTGGTCAATAAAGATATCACTGATGGATTTTTGTTTGATTTGCTAAATGGCCAACACAGCTACCCCTGAATGGTTGGTAAAAATAGTATTCTGTGGCCACTGGATATAACTATGTTGTTCCTTCCCAATCTGATTAGGGATAGTCCTAGTGCTGAGCCTGACTTGCAGCAGCTTCCGTCAGTTTGCTCCTGAAGCTGTTCTTCCCATTTGTAATCCATTCATCTTCTCCTTTGCCACTAATTTGCAATCAATCCATTTTGCACCTTGTTTATTTCCAGAGCTGACTTCCATCCTTTCCCCAGTAATTTGCTAAATAGACTTTCTTCCA